GTGCAGGAGATGGAGAAGGAGAAAATTGCGTTACAGAATAGCCGTGACAGGTTGAACATAGAATTGGAGGAGATGACCAACAGAGAGACATCACTATCAAATAAAATAAGGACACTTGAAAATGATAACATTGTGTTGGAGGGGAAAGTTGTGCAATTAGAATATGCTGACTCTGCAGCACAAGATCGTATAAAAGACCTAGAAAGGCGCAACACTGATTTAGAGAATAGGAACGAGAGTGCTTTGATGAAGGTTCACCAACTTGAGGAGACAAAGGCAAACTTGAAATTTGAGGTTTCAGACTTGCAAATTCAACTCCAAGAATTTCAGCAAGAGGTGGAGAAGGCAGGAGATGTTGAAAGTTCCTTGAAGAAACAAATTGTTGCTCTACAGACGACATCCAGAAACATGCAGGATTCTCTCTCTGACACCAGTGCCCGAGAGATGGAACTGCTGAACAAACTGCAGGAACATGAACAGCATGAGGCTGTACTGAAAGAAAAGATTGTAGCTCTGGAGTCCAGTGAACTGAAACTTAAATATAAGATCCAGGAATTAGGTGCTACAGTGTCCACAGCAGAAAATAGGGTAAGTTAGTAATAACTGCATTTAAATGGATTTCTTATCATATTCTGGAAAACTAACTATGAGAATATAGTGGTCATATTATATTTTAGTGAGACGTCATGAATGTTGATGAGGGTTTTGTATTATAACAATTTACTTTTGAATAACCACCTTCAGTAGATAGTATTTCTCCAGAGTGATCATGCAAACTAATTTTCTTGTGTTTAGTTGAAATGTTTCCAATATTGATAGGTGGGTATTTGGTTAGTATAGCAGTTTAAAAAAAAAAAAAAAAATCTATACATAATTTGTTGTCTTGGTATTTTCAAGTTGATAAGGCAAGGGTGCCCCCAATGGCAAGATGTTTTTATACTTACTGGTGTTTTTGAAGTAAATGTTTTAGTTGAGCACTAAGCCAAGTTAGGTCAACAAGAACATTTACTGATATCACTTAACATTTTTTGTCTCCACTACCTTTTAACTTTCATTTTTTTTAAAATCTTTTTGTAGATGTTGAAGGTTGGGGGGGGGGGAGATTTTGATGTGTCAATTAACTATCAGGTTATTAATAGCATCTTGTTTCTATCTTGAAAATAATTCTTAGTTTTTAAAAAGTTGGGTGAATTATCAAAAGATGTAAAAATAAAAAAGTTGCTAGACTGACAGTGTTCGGTCACCAGCACCTTAGCATCTCGTGGTTGACTGTTCTTGCAGTGCAAATTGCCTTTGAAGGTAATAAATTTTCATTGCAGCCTTACTTTATAGAGAATTAGGAGTATCATTTATCAGAATCTGTCTTCAATTCCCTCATTCTGAACACTAAATGGTTGTTGACAAATTGTTGTGCATAAACATTTCATTGAAAAGTCACTTTAATTTGAATTAAACCATTCTCTAAAAGAACCACAACCACAACCTTGCCCAGCTTGTCAGGAGCATTGGGTATGCTGTTTCTTACATTATTCTCTTTAATGATATATGAGCATGGGTTCAGGGGTCACTCCTTTGAAGGTTTTTTGGTTGGGCATTATATCCTTCAATGTACCAGTTGAAATTGATCTGTTAGAAATTATTTGTAGGTCACCACTGCTAAGAACCTAGAGGAGGAGAACCATTTGTTACACAGGCAAATAGACGACCAGCAGAGGAAAGTGAGAAACTTGGACCAAGAAATACAGACATTAAATGAAAAATTGGTGGCCTATGAGAACCCAGGGAAGTCTAATGGGTTTGTCAGGGTTCTGGCCAAAGAGCTGTCAGAGCTGAGAGCACAGAAAGCCTGGGTGGAGGAGGCAGAGAAGACTGTAACAAGGCTTGAGAAGTCCGAGGCAAGGTTGAAGGAGACTGTACAGCAGCTGAGGGAAGGAAAGGTTGGTATTTGTATGTAGTAGGGGAAGTGAGTAAGTTTGTTACTGTGCAGGTTGCCCTTCATTTAAGTGGTCCAGATACCCTCTGATTTAAATCAGCAAAATAACCAAAACTGGTTTGTTTACTGTAGCATAAATCTCCTAGTTTTCCCATTAACTGTAGCAGCTCTCTGGTTATTGTGCTTTTTTTTGTACTGGTTAAAAAGAAACATCTGTAGCGGTAGTCAATGTGTAAGTGACAAATCATGATATTTGAACTTGCAACTAGCTCTTCTCAGATTACACTGGTAACCAGCCAGAACACATATAAAAAATGTGCACTTTGGTTCCTGCAGTAGTGTTATTTGAAGTCTTTTGAAATTGATTTGAATTGGAAAAGTACCTGTCACAAGTAGACTTAATTTTGTGATTCACTGAATGCGTCATACAACAGTAAAATACAGTTAACTTAACAGTAATTTTTTTTTGTGCCATATAAACAGTTGAAGAGCTTCAGTAGGTTCTGATAATGCACATGCCATATTTGAGGTGATGTACCTGAAACATTTTAGAGTAAAAAATTAAGAAGTCATTATTTGTAAAGAATCAACTGCAAAAAATCTTTGATTCTTGTAGGATGTGTGTGGCCATGAGGGAGAACTGAAGGACCTCAAGGATGAAGTGAACAGGTTGAAAGCTTTAGAAAAGGTAAACTAATGGATTTGTCATATTGAGAGAATTGTTAATCAAAAGAAAATGTTTTTATGCATATCAAATTTCATGTTCTTGGGCTGAAATTGTGATTGAAGTTTTTTTACACACTCAATTTTATCCCTATATATTTGATTTATGTGTCCTTTAACCACACTCAGCTAGCTGTTAAAGAGTATAATTCAGCATAAAAAATGATAAAAAAGGGGAAATTGTTAAGAAAGATATGTTGTCCTTGAAATACCAGCTTTCACTTTTGGACCAAGATGAAAACTTGGGAGTTGAGCCAAGGTCTAAAAGGCAATTGCCTGTAACAAGGCCCTTTTACTCTGTAATTTGAGAAGTATTTCTATATGTGACTACATGTAACAAGTGCCTATTATTCTTGCAATATTACATTTATTGATTGGTGCCAGTTAATTAACCCTCATTAATTATGTAAAAGCTCCATGCACTGCTGCCTTCCCTAGGCTTGCTTTGTGCACTATACACTTGTATATAATAACAGATAAACTCAGAACTGTGAGCATTGATTACTGACCAATACTGGGGGAGTAACCTCAGTCTTAGTGGGGAATTATAGATGTACTTAAATGTCCATTTATTGTTATGAGAAAAAAGAACTCTAATCCAACAATCAAAATGATTTGACTCAAGCAGCAAATGTGAAATGAATAAGAGCACAAGCCATTTTATGTGATATATCATCATGTCCACATCTTGAATAGATTTAAGAAAGACTGATTTCATATCAACTGGTGGATGATTTTAGCTTATGCAAAAATTTGCTCTGCCCAATGCTTTTGACATCTGTTCACTATGTCAGTGAATAGTGAGGGGTGAAGATCTTTCCAACATATATCAACACAAGTGTTAGTATACATTTGAAATAATGGAAGACACCATTTATCATTATATCATTGTACATTAGTTGTGGTTGTGAACTCAAATGTTCACTGTTTGTTCAGATTTAGTCATATAAAAGCATGTTTCTTTATACATAGTACTTCATATTAACTGTATTTATGCACATGCTTCTTTATAACATCATATGTATCATATATTACATGTTTTTACATTAATTTTCCTTGCATGTCTATAACATAATTACTCTGAAAAATGGTCTGCAGTAATAAGTAACAGCATGATTTTGTTTGGTTTGTGTCCTTTCCAGGAGACCAGTTCATTGCACAGAGTTTTGTTAGCTAATCGCAAGGTAGTGGTTGTATTGGGTGCACATTGTGTTACTGTACTTATTGTAGTGGCTGTAATAATGTTGTCAGTGTGGTGTTGGAGTAGACTGAAGTAGTGTAGGCTTAGAAGTTAGATGAGTAAGGTAGTAGAAGAGTAATAAGATTGTGTTTGAAAGGTTTTTGTGGGACAACTGTAGTTGTGGTGGTAGTAGTAAATGTGTGTGAACATGTGAGTGTAAATATCTTCAATCACTTCTAGAACTTAAAATGCTTTTTGAAAAAATATGCTGTCTGCAATTATTCCTCCTTTCTGTCACTTTACATGTAGTCTAGATGAATCTGTTGGCATTTGGTGTGGATTTTTCTATATGACCTAGCAGAATTATTGCCACAGTGTATTTCAGGCACTGTGTGGGTTGAAGACAGCTCTGTTCACACAACTGACATTTGCTGTGAACTTCACTATTGTTTTGTCTTGTGTGTAGAGTGTTACCTAGTAATAGTGTTCTATACATGAACTGTGTGATGACTGCAGTAGATCCACCAGAAGTCAGCAAGGTGTATGTGATATTCACCAGTGTGAAGGAGGAGTGGTTGTCACATACACCAAATTGCTAATGAGTGGTTTCTGTATTCTACCATGGTCAATGTCTAGAGCAAAGGAGCCAGGTGAAGTGTTGCTCATATTTGTTTTTAGCATCCACTTTGGCATAAAATAGCTGCTGTAACTGATGGATTTTTACTTGTGTCTTTCGTACACATTCCCATCCCCTCTGTTGCTCTGATTGTGCTACCTTGAGCACAAGCCTGGTCGTAGTTTGTATTATGGTAATATGTATATTAGAGTGCATTTCCATAGATTTTTAGATCCATCTATCTCCGTGGGGAGTCTCACATGGGTTGTCAGCCTGACCGCTTTAAATGTCTGTCCCGCCTACTAAAAGCTGTAAGGGGGTAATTAACTTTTTGGTGCGCCCGGCTCTCGGAACCTGACAGCAATTTAGTGTGAACCCCTAAGGAGTTAGGTTGATCTGGATAGATGGATCTAAATCTATGGGAACCCAGTCTTAGTCTACTATACAAGGTCTAGTGTGAGTTTGTTAAATAAAGCTTTTGTCTAGCATGTACATTTGTAGTATAGGTACAGTTTTCATGCACTCTAACTTAATAATTTATATACCTATATATAAGCTTCAAACAAATATTCTGGGCTCACTGTCCCATATACTTGATTTTAACCAAAAAGCTAGCAAATTCTTCTTAGATGGATTGAAATTGTTATCAACACACTGGCAAATTGACTCTTTCTTTACCACAATAAAATATACCTGGCATTTTTGTTAGAGTTGATAAGCTGAACCTAGACACGTGAGCCTAGATGTGATCTTGTCCCTTTTTTAAATAAATTTGACAGATTTGGCTTCTGACTATTTGAAGTCTTAAGACTTTGCATGTCTATAATATTTTGTTTGTTAACCATATTGATGTTTATTTTTATTTTTTGTCAATTGTAGGCTTATGACATGCTCCAGGATAATTACAGCAAACTGAGAGAAAATTTCACAATATTATATCAAGGTGTCAAGGTAATTTCCTTATTTATAATTAAATACTCAAATGATTTTCTTCTGATTCATGTTGATGAATATTTAACTACATTTAAACAATTTTATAATTACAACTTTCAAATTACAATTACCCATGACAGTTTTATTTTAAATCCTGATTAAAGATTGAAAATGTTATATGGTGTAAATTTTAAAAAATTGTTTATTTTGATGACTGTAATATATATCTGTATATATGATTGGCCTGCCAGGGTTGGGTAAGTCATGGGTGGTGCTGCACTGTATGCTTCCCACATAATAAACTACTGGAGGTGATGTCCTCTGCTAGGAATACCACTTTTGTGTTGCACATTATATGAAGGTTTTTTGCCTGTACTGTTACAGCATGTTAATCACATCCTTTGAGTCCTCATCACTAAAAATAGGTATTGTACACAAAGCAAAGGAAACTACAGAATATAATGTACATTTTAAATGGCAGTAAGATAAGGATGGAAATGAAATATACTTAATGACTTCTGTTGCAAAGGTTACATCCAGTGTGAGCGTCAATTTCATTTCCATCATTATCTTAGGGTGCTTTCCCAGAGATTTAGATCGATCTAAAGATTAAGTTTTAGATCGACCTAACTCCCTGGGGGTTCACGCTAAATTGCAGTCAGCCGAGCGGACAACATAGTTAATTACCCCCTTAGAGCTTTTAGTAGGCGGGACAGACGCTTAAGCCGGCCAAGCTGACAGTAATCTAGTGAGACTCCCCACAGGGATAGATCGATCTAAAAATCTATGGAAATGGGGTGTTAGTTTAAAACAACTAGATGAATCAAAACATTCTCTTTGATATTTGAGGGCACTGTTCATCCATTAAAAGTGATGATTACCTCTGGCAGAATACTGTAAGTGAATAAGAGCAAAATTTAATAGATGAAACAATATTTTGAAACTGCCCAGTATGGCGCCAAGTTAACTGATATTTTCTATAAACCATAAGATGGGGGGAAAACTCACATTGCCAACAATAACATAGTTTTAAGATGATATTTTGTTTTTAAAAAAATTAATTGTTGACTACATTTTCTTTTCAGTCAGGAGATGTTAAACTGGAAAATATAACATTACCACCAGACATCAAATCACCAGATAGTAACTTAACTCCAAGAAGTCAAGCCATCGTGGACTTTGTAGACCAGCTTCCATTAGAAGACATCCCCCTGTTGTCTGCAGTGGCTCCATCTATGAGCTCTCCAGCAGGACCAGGAGTCATTGAAGAAATGGAGTGGAAACAAATTGAAAATACAAACAAGTCTTCCACCTCTAAACTGGCTGAACTTAGTGACCTGTGGGGCCATATTGAGAAGACCACAGCAGTGAGCTCTGCACCCAGTGAAAGTGGCCCAGCCCCTGCAGTGCCTTCCAGTAAACCTCCAACAATACCAGGGAAAGCAACACATGCTGATGGAAGTGTTATTGAGGATTCATTTTATCTTCCAAGTACTCAGGTCCCAGAGGGAGATGTTGACAGTGCAGATGAAGCTCCCAGTTTGGCTGAGGACATTCCACTGTCAGGACGAGCACCGCCACCTTTACCCAAGTCCAAACCTCCCTCACCACCCACCTCTGGTGTGACTGGTTCTGTGTCTACACCAGCCACACCACCTAAAGGTAGGTCTTGGTTTTCAAACCATGTCATTTTGATCATTTTGAAATAAGCACATAATGGCATATACAGCAGCTTGTGTTGTAAACTCCCCATGGGGTTAAATCAGTTTCAGGATTGAATGGGATCATATAGACAAAAAAAATTAAGGTCAGTTAATCTTGTTATGTAAGAATATCTCCTTTTGAACCCAACCTTTATCTAAAATTACATGTTACTGTTTTCCTTCAGGTTACAGACCACCAGTACCTCCGAAACCTCCCACTCCCTCCTGGCTGAAGCGTAGGTCCCACATAGACCAGCTGAACCCTGACGTGATCCTCCTGGAGAGAGTCCATGCCAAGGAGATCAAAGACTGGGAGACTAGAGTGGAGGGGTTGGAGAAGAAACTGAAGGTGAGGAGATGAACTTTGTCCTGGGGAAATTTTTCTGCCTATTTTGCCTTTCACAGTGTCTTAATAAAAAGGCTGTTGAGTCTTCTTACTGATATTTGTTTCACATTTTCTCCCTACTTTCCTTAAAGATTTTTTACCATCAAAGAATCAGATGTGGATTCTTTCCATTCATTACCTCCTCAACCATGCATTGCTGCAATTGATAAAAGTGCCTACTTGTCAGCACTTAATAGGTTTTTTTTAAATCTCTGTTGCTATATCATCATGAAGTGCCTGAAATTATGTAAAATATTTTGTGCTTGTTTTGTAGAACAAAGAGAGTGAACTGAGTCTGTTCAAGGATAGTTTGCCTGCGTCTGGTGCCAAAGGTTCTAGTGATCTGGCCATGTGGAAAGCCAAGGTAAGTCCTTTACTCTTATTGTAATCCCAGCATATTTGTGTCGAGTGGACAACCATCTTGCCACTTGTTCTGTATGTGCATTGAGTTGCATGTTTCTTAAATTTTGTAAATGGTGCCTAGTAATTATTCAGTAGTATTTTTATTGAACCTCTCTTATTTTGATGAGAGTATACCTGTATGAATATTTTATCATTATTTGTAGTTGAGAGACAGGGAGAGACAGCTTGAAGTCAAAGAGAAAATTGTAAAAGACCAGAGGGATCAGATCTTGAAACTGGAAAAAGAACTTGCGGAAAAGAGAAGAGAACTGACCTTTGCCCAAGAAGAAATTTCTCGCCTGGACAGACTTGTTCGCTCAAAGGTAGGTCATTGAAAAATGTTAAAAGTTCCTTTGTCACAAAACAGTGTTTTTTTCCAGTGAAACATCTAGGTCATGGAATGTTATATTGATTCAATTTTGATGAAACACTTTTAGCAAATTCACTTATCATTTGAAAGTTGTAATTGTAACAGTGTTTAAATGTAGTTAAATATTAAAATAACAAGTAATGTTAAGGGTATATTTTTAAACTGAAGATCTAGAAATGTTTATCATGATGACTTAAAATTATTTTATAAACTCCAGAACCTAGTTGGTCCAGACAGCCCCCTGCCTAGTCTCCACAGGATGCAGAGAGAGCGGCTAGCAAACACAGGAAGAACGTCAGAGAAGAACATGCTGGACTGGCTGGAGACAAGCAGGGAGGAACACCAACTCAAGAAAGAGCTGCAGAACAAAGAACAGGAGCTTTTCTCAAAGGTAGCAGCCCATTGATTTTGGTTGTGTTTTATAGGCAGTACACCCACCTTATCATGTAATGTGAATTTATAAGTTAAAGTGAAATTAGTTTCTTTTCAAATATTGTATTGTTTAGAAATATTGTCTAGTATTTTGCAAATATGTTCAGTTGAATACCTAAATTTGAAAATATGATGCCTTAGATATTTTAGATTCTATCTGCATTGCCTTGGTGCTACTATTCTCAACTTTCACAACAATTTCAATTTATTCATTCAGAATATTGAAATAGACCAACTGAATAAGAAACTCAAAGACAAACAAGAAAAGGTTGAGCGTCTCGAGGCTGAGTTGAAACAGCACAAGACACCAGAAAAGTCTGGTATGAAGTCTCGGGAAGCCTCACCTCCAGAGGGGTCATTGTCTGCTAAGATTAGTCCCAGTAGAACAGAAGAAGATGGGCAGAGTGTCACTGGACAAGCTCAGTTAGAAGCAGAACAAAAAGAACTGAGAATACGACTCAATAACACTTTAGAGGAGTTAAGAGATAAGGTATAATATCCATTAAATCTGTTTGGATTTCTTTTAGCGAATGACCTTGTTGTCAGTCTGTATCATGAAATAATTGTTTATTAGAAAAAATGTAAGGTTTCTTTCATTACTTGACTGTTGGTATCAAAACCAGACTAACAAAATGAATTAAGATGCCAGCTCACATGGCATTTGAATTATAATTATGCTCTTACTGATGTTTATTGTTCATAACAGAAAGAAGAGCTATCCAAAGCCAGCAATACCATGACACCGTTGAGAGCCAAAGTTACAAGATTGGCCAAAAAATGCAAGCAGAAGGTAGGGCATCAGATTTTACTTGACATGTAGATTTTGCATTTGCATGTTATTTGTATTCATGAGTTAATGTAGGTTTTGAATGCATCAAATATAAATCCTTAAAATTTGAATGCATTTGTCACTTGTAATGTTGTTTGGCCTGATTGTCATATTTTCTATGCACATCCGTTTGATATGCACTTGAATGCAGCTGCCCCTGTTTAATGACATATGGACTGTGATTGAGTAGGTTTCCTAGATAAAAATTCTCTTGATAAGTGAATTAACATCTTGCATTCCTTTCAAAATAATAACCCCTGTAGTGTTTTGCCACCTAAAGACACTGCATGTAAATAGCTAGTGTGATGAGTTCTATATTTGATTAGGACAACCTTCTGCATCGAGCTGCTAAAGACATGAGTAATTGTGGAATGCATGGCCGCCTTGTTTCCAAGATAGAGCATGAGCTGGAAACTTCAAGTAATGGCAGTGATAGACGTTCTTCAGAGAAGGTGAGATGCAATTGGGTTATTCCACAAAAAATAAATAAATAAATAAATAAATAAATAAATAAATAAATAAATAATTAATATAATAATAATAATAATAATAATAATAATAATAATAATAATAATAACTCCTTACACTTTTTTTGTAATTTGCATACATTCTGCAGTGCCCTATTATTTTTGCTGTTTTATACTGTAGTGTGAAAGGAAATTAACAGTAATTAAAAATGATATAAGACAGTTCTGCAAATGTTACGTAGAGTGTGTGCTCATTTTTTTTGTGTGTGTAAAGACTCAGTTTTGACTTTGTTGATACCCTCGGCATCCTTAAGATAACTGACAGTTTATAGTTTTACTTGAAGGAATGCAACAAAGTTGAGTTTTGTTTGATAGAAGAGAATAATTAATTGTATTGTATATCTACCATGTAGAGGTCTTGAAATGCATGTTTCACTTAATTTTCACTTAAGATTAAAGTTTTTCACATTTATTAACAGTGAAAATCTTTGGGGCCATTTTTTATATTTAGACGATTTATTTATTGAAATGAATTTTATCAAATTTGCCTGTGATATTTTGCATTGTACTGTATCATGCCTTTAAAAGTTCTACTTGTACTAGACACCCTGAATTAAATACTAATGGTACATTTCAGTTTTCAAGCTGCAGCTCCAGTCCACCAAAAAAGGCAAAAAAGTCCAACACCAAGAATGACAGCCATGACCACCAGACAACAGATGACCAGACTGAGATGGACAGTATGGTGTGGTCACTGGATGACCATTCTGACCACTCGGGAGAAACATCAGTGGCCACAGCTAGTGACTTTGATGACCTACCTTACACCACGAGAGTGAAATCAAAGCACGGCCAGCTGAATAATGAAAGAATAAAGCGACATCCAACAGAACCACGCCAGAGGACATCAGAGAAAAAGAGAAAATCGAAACATAGCAAGCAAAAGCCACATGGAGGTGAAGACACAGATTTGTTTAGAGCAGTTTCTGACTACAGACCTGAACTTTTTTCACAAAGCAGGCATCCAAATTTGGAATTACCACTTAAAGAAGGGGAGCTAGTGCAGGTGCTAGGTATGGGGAAAATGAAATAAAATTATTTGCAGTTTTATATTATTTAGAGAAACTGTTGCCAAGTAATAACATTTAATATATTGTGTTTGAAAAGTGGAACAACCTAGAAAAAATGAATCTGTATTAAAATTTTTAATTTTTACCTGACTTAATGTTATTTATAGTTTGAAGTTGATATAGGAGTTGTTTGCTAAGCAAATTAGCCAAATCATTTATATCCTATGCTTTAGGCCCACCAGACCAGGATGGTTATTATGAGACAAGGCTTGGAGGGCGTGTTGGGCTGGTCCCTGCCTCCTATCTCCAGCCAGTCTATACAGAGAGAACTGTGGATGACAGCAGGAGAGAGAGAAGCAGGCCAGGGGAACTGGTATGTGAACCAATGGGAGATCCAATGGGGACCAGTTTTTCTACCTATCAAACCACCTTTAAAATAATTAACTGTGAAATTTAAAGCAATAGCATAGAATCTTTTAAACAAAAAAATTGTTTCAATTATTGCTAATATTAAATAGGAAAATAGATAATTCTATAAAAATACTTTTATATTGAATTTTTTGGAAATGATACACAAGAAAAGCATAAAATGGCACTTTGCTAATATAACCTGGTATATGAAAGTACATAAAGCAGCTTGTTATGTGGGAATGCAACATCACATTGGAAAGATTTGAGCCTTAAACTCATAACCATCATCATGATCCCTGTAATATGTTTTGTGCTTGCTTCAGGCATTGCCTTCTCACCTTGACACAAGTCCGGAGCAGATCCTGGGGATGCACAGTGCCTTAGAACAAGCCTTCCACCCAGGACCTTACCCCATTGGCCACGGGTTTGAGACAGGAGACAACATGGTGGAGCAGCAACTGCCAGTCAACCTGGCTCTGTCACTGAGCCAAAGCTTACAGTTGCCTCCCCCTTCCATCATGAACCAGAACTTGTCTCCTTTCAACCAGTTACAACCACAACAACAGCAGACTACCAATGGGCAGCCATCTTTGGGGAATTATTTGCAAGCAGTGCCATCAAATGATTTACTTTCTCCAAATGGTGCAAGCCTGAGAAATGGACAAGGCCCTGTGGATCAGCAGCAGGCTTACAGTGCTCTTCCTGGTTCAAACTTTCCATCGAATTCAAACAACACTGATAGAAGATCTAATAACTCTTACCACCCAACCAATAGATCTAGAGTCGGCCAGAGGACTGCAGGTATGGTATATTGATTTTCCCCTTTTTATGTTAGGGAATGGTATTTGTTCTCTATCTTATCTGACTCCTGAACCTAAGACCCTCAAATGATTCAAGAGTAAAAATCCTGGATAGGATACCTTAAACATAAATTATTAAAATTATTAGATTATTAGAAGATTGGAGAATTATCTCAAAAATAATGATGAAGTTAAGTCTTAAATAATGAACTAATTGTTCCATCCAGGTAATCCTGATCCTCCCAGTCAGTTCTCTATGGAGCAAATCCTCAGTGACCTCAGTGTTCTGCTGAGCTGGCAGCCTCCTGAGATGGATGAGTTTGGAAGAAACAATGACTCCATAGTCAAAGGATACAAGGTAGATCTAAATATCAGAATATCTTTCTTGAAAAGTCTTTATGCCATTAATTTGGAGTAGGAGTCAGTTGAAGCTAATTCTATCTTTTTGACTCAGATTCTTTTAAACAAATGACATAATAAATTTGAATATTATATTAAAAAAGTATTAAAATACATGTATGAAATGTTTTTCAGCTCTTTTTGGATGAGATTTTAAAGTGCCAACCCATTGTTCTTATTGTGTTTTTAAAAAGTTCCCTAATGACAAGAAAGTATATATGTGTTATTGTATTGTAGATTCTTGTCAATGGTCGTGAGGCAGAGGTGGTCAGGAGTCCACATCAGTGCAAGGTGCTTATAGAGAACCAGAACTTGCGTCGACCAGTGCAGTTCAGCATACAAACTCTGGCAGAGAATGGACGCATGTCTGCCACCACTGATCTCATGCTTGGGGAGTTTCCTCGTGCAGCATCTCGTAATAGTATGCCGCCACACTCAGCCACTGAGGAGGATGGAGACGTAGATGATGACGATGATGTAGCCTCGTTTGTGTCTAATGATGATCATTATAGGAAAGGAGAGAGAAGAATTGTAAGTGTCTTGGTACAGAAATGGTGTTTATAGGAAGAGATTGATGTCTTTCAAGCACATCTCACAAATACTGTTTTACAACAAAAAAAAATCTACATAGACTTAAAGAGTCCACTGTATATATAATTATGACTTTTAGTATGCTCCTTCACTGCTGCTTTCACATGTTAACTCTTCTTTGTCTTTTATAAACATCATAATCAAGTGAAGAAATATAAATAAGTGTAATAGCATTTTAATTTTGTTTGATATTTGCTTCAGTTTGTAGCTGTATATGACTACATACCTTCTCGGCAGTCCCCAAACAAAGTCTCTGCATATGAATTGGTCATTAAGGCAGGGGATGTTATTACAACATTTGGTCTCCAAAGAGCCGATGGTTTCTTCTTTGCTGAGGTAGGTTGTGGGTGCAGGTTTGTGAGGAATACTCACAGGGCCACATATATATAGCCATTTGTATGGAAATCAGCATAAAGATTAAAGAATTTATTCAACACATAGCAAATACATGACTGTTTAAAATTATAATTTTTGTCTTCAAAGATGCCAAAATGATGTGAAATAATTTACTATAGATGCTGTCTGCTTCCAGGTAAATGGCAGGAGAGGTTTAGTACCTGCAAGCTTCATTGAGGAATTTAGCGCAATTCAAAAATCAAATTCTAATTTGGTCAGCAGGAAAGCTGGTAAATTGTCCAGTCACAAAAACAGTGAGCATTCTTCTTCTGAGCAGAGTAACGTGTCTACAGGAAGTAGGTCTAAGGGACAACCAAAGAGGATGGAGAAATACAAGGATACACGGTTGTAGAGTGTATCCTTGTATTAAAAATGATATCAGACAAGAGAGGTGCAAAACTGAGACTATAAAGACTATGACAAAGCATCAGGGAGTGATTTGTCAGTTTCAATGAGATGTCTTGTACATTCATGGATCAGTCATTGAACTTCATTTTCGCAGTGTTGATTTAGCAGAAAATATGATATACATATATACCTTAATGAGACTACCTAGATTTTGCTCAAATTTGCACAAGGTGAAATGTTCCCAATGTCAGGTTGACAACACTTAATGAAATGAGATGTGGATTATCCATTCTCATTTTTTATATAATGGCAGATCTTATTTTTAAAAAAATGCCTTTTGAGATTGGAGATCAAAACACAGGGTTAGATTATGAGAGATTATGGTAAATTGTTTTTGAGATTGGATGCCAAGGATAAGGGCTCATACAATGTATCATATTGACAATTGGTCAGTTATTTGGGGAGCAAGAATTCAGGGTCAATCAATTTTATTTACCAAGGATGAAGGGTTAACCCAAATTGGTGCTGAAAATTAGGTATTAATGTTGTCTTCAGCTCTATTGCATATCTCTTTGTTGTATATAGAATTAGGATTTGTAATCTAGGATTGATGCTCTAGGCAGTTATTTATTATCTAGTGTTATATATTTTTTACTTCATGTGTAAATTTATGTTGATATTTATATGCAAAGCAAGCATTTCTGGCCAGATTTGATGGCAAACGGTTTTGTCTCATAAATTACAAGTTTTAAGTGAGCCAAGAACACACTATTTATTTATCATGTTATGGTTTAATATACTGATATCAGATTTTTATTGTTACTTTGTATAAAGCCTTTTACTAGCTCTTCTTACATGGAAGGTTTATCTGCACACTATAAAAGTTGTCACAATCAAGATCTAAATCGAACTTTTGCTAAGATATGTTCATATATTTGTAGGGTAGCTTTATCTGCATTGACACCCTCTAGCATGTTCCCATCCGTCCTATCATTCTTACGAATTTTTTTAAATACCATTTTTACAATCAACACTGCCATTATTTTCATACATTTCCTCCATAAGCTACCATTGTGTTACCATACATGTTATGGTTCAGGATTTATTTCTAGGCTCACCCAGTTGGGATCTATGAGTTGTGAGAATATTTATATTTTTTATTACCTTTGGTTATTTTTCAAAGTTATTGACATTGCATAAACAATAAAGTCAAGCTATGTTGCTTTTTAACCAACTTTGGCTCGAGTCCATAGATAAGTAAATCACGCACATCAAATAAAAATAATTATCTATTATTTTATTTTCTAAAAGCAATCTATATTTTACCAATATGGTGACATGAGGTATATACAAATGAGAATGACAAGAATAATGTCAGTTTCTTTTCAATTTACCATCTGTTATGATTTTCTTTTTTAAATTCAGAGCAAATGCAACTCTTTATAGAGGTTACATGGTCAAAAAACTAACAGAGATCAACTATGGAAATTACTGGAAGAATTCAATAACTGAAGTTGTTGCTTCTAAAAAAAATTAAATTACACTCATTTCAATACAAAAAAATAAATAAATAAATAAAAGATTTCAATATATTGGTAAACAATTTCCATTCTTTACAGCATTACTCAATATATCACATATTCACTACAGTACACACAAGTTCATACATATTCCTTGGCTACCCGTTCAGATCCAGCTTGCAGTAGACAAGATTCAGATTCTACACAGGAATATCCTAGCCTGTGCACGTGCATTATAATTGTGTCTCCTCACAAATCTGCACTCATCTTGGTGTGAGATTGGGCTACTCTTACTGTGAGCAGGGTCACCCGCAGCCCCTTCCGTGTCAGTGGAATATTTTCTCTATCCAATCTGATATATCATCTACAGAGTTGGAAAAATTTTTGCTATAACCTAGATACTCCATGGAAAAGTTTTTCATTCAGTGTGCACACCTAAAGGTGTTGGTGCTTCATCAATTCTTGCACGCTTGGTGGTGGCCTTCTTTTTACTTGTCTTGTCGTCTTTACTTGAGGAAGTACCACTTTTGTGAGGCTGGTTTTGAACATAGCGTGTCACTGTGGAGACGCCATCAACAAACCGGGTTTTGAACAGGACATTAGCGTTGTTGAACATACCATCTTTAAGTGAGACTATAATGAACTGTAAGTAAAAGAATTACAATGTTACACAAATTTGAAGATGTGAACATTACCTAAAATGTGCAAAATCACAGTTTCTTAAGATACTGCTGGTAGACTGCTTTTACTGAAGGTATTGTAAAGGTACCCTTCATATTTAAGATATTACGTGCAAATGATTTGAAAATAAAACTGTAAAACATTTTTTGAAAACCACAAGAACAAAGTAGAACATCTAATCACTGCAGTTCAAGTTTGTGTTACCTGTGAGTGTTTGAAGTGGGTCCTCAGCATCTGTCCAATGTTCTGTGTGTGACTGGAGTCAAGAGCAGCGTCCACCTCGTCTAGAATGTACAGCGGGGCTGGCTTGAACAACAGCAGTGACAAGATCAGGGACAGGGCTACCAGAGACCTGGAATTATAAACCAGAGAGATATGTTCAAGTATGAAGGCAATTCTTTGGGGGTAAGGTTTGTATATTGGCATCACGTGTCAAAACCATACAAGTATCAGATTTATATAAAATGACACCAAAACTCTTACAATTTCTATATTAAACATGACCGTTTTCTTTCACAAATGAATGCTTTGATGTTGCCATCAAGGCTGACATAAAATATCAAAAGTTTTGTATATATCAAACATAATGATGCATTTAAAAAAGTCCAGCACAGACCTCTGTCCTCCACTGAGCTCTGTGAGGGACTCCTTCCACTGACATTTCTCTCCAAATGCCACTTTCACCTCTAGACCGTCCAGAACACCCAGCCCTTCAGGTGGCGCCAGCTTGGCCTTGGCTCCCACCAGCAGCGTGGAGAAGATGGAACCAAAGTCCTGGAAGACATAGGCAGTTCAGATATGATACGTAAACTAAACATCTACATCAAGTTGTATCCATAAAAGAAAATAATTGAAAGATATGCACATAAATGACTCTGAATCTCATGTTTGAAACACACACAAAAAGTTTCCCAAATACAAAAATTTTCCTACAAATCTCAATAAAAGTAAGGTGTATTTCTTTACACAATTCATACATCAACTGTATTCATAAAATTTAAAAACTAACTGGATGCCCATCATCAGAGTGATTTACAAACAACCAACATACTTTGTTAACTTGTTCATACGCTTTCTTCAGGGCTTCATTTTTCTTTTCATCCAGTTCAGCTATAACAGCAGCAATCTTGGCTTTGTCATTGAGAACCATCTTTCTTTTCTTGATCAGGTCATTGTACTGAGCAAAGGAAAGACATAAGAAACATCAAAATACTCTGAAGTACAGTATATTGCACAAAACCCCGTTAGAATCTGTAAAGTGATTTTTCAAGTCTGAATGAAACCAGTAATATGTTAACTGATAAGTATATTTCTTAACATTAGGCAAAAAAGCCCCAAGCAAAATGGGGATCCCCATGTAATTTGGGCACTCACTCAGTGATCACTTATGTCAGATGCAGTTTATCAGGTTTAAAAAAAGCAGTCTTTTACTAAATCCATGCAGGGCAGGAAGCATGCTACGGTGCACTGCCATATGCTTTTTCTCTAAATTTTAAGCAAGACTAGTGAAGTAATTTAAATAATCTATTCCTATAATAGTCAATCTGGTTAAATAGCTAGTAACTGATCTGATGGCATCAGTAACAGTCACTTCTTCACTTGCCTGTTCTTCTGCTTTCCCCAGCATATTCATGGCCCTCATGTTCACATTCTTGGAGAGCTTATCCTTGGTCTCCTGCAGTTTCTGGATCCTACGGCCAGCCTCTTTGGGGTCATTTGCCTTGAAGTCATAAGCTGTGTTTGCCTGCCCAAAATATTTCTTCTCGTCGGCAATCCATTCATACTGCTGCAGCATTTGTTCGACCTGTGATCAAGAAAGAGATTAGCACCAAAACATACATTGGATTTATCTCAACATTGAACAATACAATGGCAGCAGAAACCAACATAAGAGAGCAAACAACCTCAGATCTGTGAATACAATTCCTAAGAAGTACATTTCACAGATTAGGCATTTGACACTTTCTCTGTGCACTTTCACATTACAACATAGTTCATCACCTAATCACACAGTAATTTCAAACAGAAACAACAAAACTGAACTTTTTTCTTCCAATGCTTATGATAAATTTGACCCAAGGACTCACCAGTTTAGCTGCATCTTTGGATTCCCTGTTGTGCTTGGCAATCTTGTGTTCCATCTCCTGCATCTTCAGCTGTGTGGCGTTGGTCTCCTTCTGCAGGTTTTTCTGCTCTGTGTGTTTGGCACTTATCTCCTTGTTTCTAGCCTTCAACAGCTCCTTCTGCTTGTTCACCTCGGCCTGGGCTTCCTTAACTGCAGCCTAAAATAATAATATTAAAATAAAAAACATGAATGTAAATCCACGGGTTAAAGTGATTTGCTTAATGGCCACAGTTACCTTGTAAGACAGTTAAATAATCTCACAATATTAAAAGCTAAACCTCATTCCTAGACCTAAAGCAGTATCAGCTTTTCCCCTCGTTCTTTTTATCTGGCCTAGGCCTATTTCTCACCTTATGCTGTGCAGCAACTTCTTGTAACTGTTCTAGTTGCTCCTCAATTCCTTTGATGGCTTCGTCCACTGCCTTCAGTTGGTCTTCATATCCAGCTATTTCCTTCTCCAGTTCTTCACACTCCAGCTTTAAGCTGTCATGATCCTGAAAATAAGGCAAGTTTTATATTTTAGGCTCAATCCTTAACAGCTCTTTTTCTTCTTTCTATTTTCTATAATGGACAAATATCCAACTTCTAGAATTATGCACTAGACTGTGACGATAGTCCCTTTGTAATCTTTCCCATTGCGCTAACCTTGTCCCAATCTAAAGAAACTCAGGCATAGAGGGAAATAAGGTTGTGCTGTGTCTCTGCAAAAGTAATTAATAAGAGGAAAAGATAATTTTAATTACGTATTTACCAATAATACTAAGGATACATCCCCTCACATCATTCTATATGTACCTGCTGTTTTTCCTTCAGTTTTTTGCTAGACTCTTCTGCATTTTTCTTGGCCTTCTCAAGAGCCTTTTCTGATTCTTTCAATTCCTTTTCCCTAATAGACTTGGCATTCTTGATCTTGTCCTCAAGTTCTTTCACCTTCTTTGTGGCTTTGTCCTGAGTTTCTTTGGCCTTCTTTAACGTGGCCTCTTGTTCATCTATGGATTCATTTCAATATAAAATCAGAATACAATATTTGCGCAACATCTCATTTTCTCTTTTACTAAAGAGAATAGTAGACATATCTTTACAGCATACATGAGTTGCTGAATACAATGTAAAGTATTAATATATAAATAGCAAGCAGAACACAACTCCATCTAAGAATATAATATAATGTATTTAAACAATAATGTACCAATGGAGCTCTGGAGAGCATTGATATCCTCTAGCTGCTGATGATGTGTTCCCTGTTCCAGTCTTGCCTTGACCAGTTCAGCCTCATGAACCTTGAGGTCATATTGCTGTTTTAGTTTCTGGTATCTGGAACAAATGCAATTGTTCATATCAGAAACAAGAAATAAACTTGAAATTAAGTTGGATAAGGGTAATTCTGCAGGATTAGGAACTGAGGAAGCTAATAAAAACATCTCCCTCAACTTCTGGAGATATTTCAGTCCTCCCAACCCTATCCCCATTATTAAATACAATGACATTCTAAACTATTTCCATATAAAAAGGATAAGAGAATCCCTGCTGTAAATATTATCAGATGAGACAGCACTTCTTGATTTTTTAACTTCTTAATGACTCAAAGAGAAATTTCAGGCCCTATCAATTCCAAACTGCATCTGTATATTTGTACAGGAAATCAAACTTACTGATCAGCAACTTTAGCAAGTGACTGCAACTCTTTCTCCACAGCGTCCAGCTCCTTCTCCTTGGTGCTCAATATGCCAGCTGCCTCCTGGATCTCCTGAAGCTTCACCAGGATAGAACTAGTCTGGGCACGGGCACCTGGGGGAGAATTTATCATTTTTTACCTGGTACACTTAATGACAATGAAAACTTATTTTAACAGAAACAGAAAAAAAGTCTTTTTTTTTTCATAGAAGTGCATAGACTGGCAGCACTGCCTTAAAAACACATCTCAAGAGTAAAACTTTTGTCTCAAATGATAGGTATAACTCATAAATTTTTAAAGTATAAAGAATGGCCCAGTTTAAAATTCATTAAAAAAAACTTCAATTACACCAATATTCACGTTGCCATTTCATAATCTTGTTCATTTTGGGAGAATCTTTATCCCATCACACCACTCACCTCCAGTTAGTAGTCCAGATGGATCAAAAGAGTCTCCGTCCAAGGTGACAGACTTTTTCAGCACCTTTTCATCATATGTGACCTTCTTGGCTGTGTTCATGTCAGTGCAGACGAAGGCAGAGCCAAACACAAACTCCATAGCCTTCTGGAGATCCTTTTCATAGCCAACCAGGGACAGGGCAGTGTGAACATTGTCTTTGCCAACCTAGATTTAACATATTTTACATGTAATAACCATATTAAAATAATAATAATAATAATAATAATGACAATAATAAAACAAATCTGACAATGTTTCACTGAAGGAGTTCTGTAGTTTGAAATATTCCAACTTTAAAAATACACAATGTTTTCCAAAGAAATATATATGCACATTGCACAGTCACCTAGGAAAAATAAGTTTAGCATTGGTTTCCTTAAAAGTTTTATATCCCTTGTTTTTTTTTCTGGCACTGAAGCTATCAGCCAGCACTTACCAGCTCCTCGGCTCTTTTGATGGTTGGAGCATCAATGCTCCTGGCAGAAATCTTGTTGAGTGGAATGATGGTGTAGCGCATCTTTAACTCTCCCTTCTGTAACAGCTTTTTCCCTGTCTGTTCTGTGTCAACTACAATGTTGTAAAGCTGGAACACAGTGATGAACCTTTACTATGCAGAATAGTATTGAATCATAGTTCCCAATGGACCCCGAACACTTAAAAATCACAACTGTTCTTATACTTCTCATAAACACACCACATGAATCTTTTCAAGTTCCCTGCATTGTAAAGTGACTTTTTGACTTTTTAAAGACAACAAACAGTTTTTAACAACTAAAGCAGCATTTTTCATATAAAAAAAATTCACCTTTCCTCCTGCAGTAACCTCTAGAGCAGTTGCCGTGCTGACATCTGGCACCTTTACTAGCTTGCAGACAAGACCATGCACCTTGGACCTGTCAAAGTTCTTCTCAGGGTCTTTGTATTCGAACTGAAGTCTTGGGAATCTGCATAATAAAAATTAATTAAATACCTCACTTAAAATATCTTATTGAAAAATGATAGTGTATATAACCAGGGACCATATCCTTCAAGTTCAATTAAGCCACTGATGCTATACAAATATAGCCTCCTGGGTAACTTTAAAGGGATAATAACTCTTCGTATGAAATCTAATATATTCTGTTTTACCACAAAAACGGCAGTTATAGCTATTATTTTGATATCTGAGCTTTTCTTTAGACCACGTGACCTCCATTGATGGCTATACTCTGCTAAAATCTCTTAAGAGATTTTAACATAAAAAAAAAACAAACTTTTTAGAAAAAAACCAGGGACTAACTTTGAATGTAAAAATGGATTCATTAACCATTGGTAAGTATGGGAAAATTGTTGTTTACTCCAGGAAAATTCATTTTTTGGCCGAATCGAAGAGTTATTATCCCTTTAAGATCAGAAATAATGAAAATACACTGATGAGACTTTTTTTAGTTTGAATCCCATATTGTCAACACCTACTTGGATTCCAGAGAGTCAACCTTCTGTCTAAGTGACTGGACCTCTTTGGTCAAGTCCCTTCTTCTTTTTTGCAGGTCCTCTTCTTTGTTCTCCTCAAAACCAAGCTTTTTCAGCTCTGCCTGAAAGACCAGGAGATAAGGTAAGCATAACATGCATCCATCATTATTATTTCTCATAATTCACTACATTATGCAATTTTAGGTTGAATTTAATGGTCTTTGGGGAATGTTTCTTTGTGTGTATTACAGTGCCCTAGGGAGAGACATAGGCACTATAGGCAAGCGAAACTGAATAATTTTTCTTACGGAACATTGAAGAAAACTTGCATTCATTTGGAAATTGTTAATCTTTCCCCTTACTTCCAATTTCTGTAGGTTTTTCTCTAGTGCATCATATGCATCTTTGTCCTTCTTGTAGCCTTGCTCAGTCTTCTTCAATTCTGCTTGCTTCTTCTTGATTTCCTGCTGGTTGTGCTTCAGTCTGAAATTTAGAAGAAAATACATAGATATATACATATTAAGAATTTTCAGGCACTTTTTTTTTGTAATCTCGGCTTTCAGATTTACACACAACATACTAGACTAATGGAATCTGAACAAGCTTATGGTCCATGAAGCATAGCCATATCTGAATAGGATAAAGAAAATGCACAAGCTCTCTACAAACAAAACTCATAAACTAATTATTAACCACTAGGACAATTTCAGTCAAATACAAAGTTTGAGAGGAGACTTACTTCATCTGTGCTTGTTTTGTTTCTGTGTCTGCATTGCTGATGTCATTCTTGGCGGCTGAAAGTCAGAATTAAGATCATCTACTTTACTCCATGGTGTAGAAATTTCTAACCAGCAGTTAAAGGACAAACCATAGAACTTATTAAAACATCAGCTTGTGCGGTCATTTTCTGGAGTCCCACTTGACTGAAAGTTTCATATAATGCTATGCATAACCTTCAAAAAAGTTAAAGCTCACAAAGAACATACATGGTTTATAGGAAGGTTGAGGAGTTAAAATGTTGACTTAATCAGATATATGTTTTGTCTGAAACTATTACCCATGAGCTGGTCAGCCAGAGTGGCAGCCTCTCCTTCATCATTACTGGACAGTCCAGCACTGACTGCATGGAAGTGTTTCTGTGCTGCAACTATGGCCTCCTCATCATCCTTGCTTTGCTGCAGCAGCCTGGAGTAGGTCTCATTAAACTTCTCTAGCTCTTTCTGCTTGGACTTGAGGACTTTCACATCCTGATAAAAATCAGAAAATATTTAAGTTTCAATATACCTCTTTGGTGAAAATATATCTCAAATATACTGCTCCTTGCCATTTAAAGAAAAAATGTTTTTACATATGGCAGTCCATTGAAAGCACATCTTTTCTGCAACAAAAACATTCCCTGAGAACACCAAGTACCTCATCATGCTGCTTAGATGTCTCTTTCTTCTTCTTCTGCTCTGCCTTCAGTGCCTCTTTCTTGTGATCCAGGGCACTCTGGGCCTTAGCCTCCACCTTCTGTCTCTCACTCAGCTCTGTCTCTAGCTCCTCCATTTTACCACCAGACTCCTTAATAAAGAACAATTACAGTGCTTTGGTGCCACTTATTCTTTATGTTTTTACAAATAAACTCAGGAAAAAAAAAAAAAAAAAAAAAAACAGCAAAATGATTTAAAATTAAATTAAATGCTCCTCTACTTTCAAAACCAAAATGTAGTGGGGTTTGTCATTTTTTGGAAAAATGAAAATAATGAGAAAAGCTTTCCATGTGTCTAATACATAGATCATTCAAGAGGGCAGGTCCATTTATAAACCCAAACAGAATTAGATGGACTTCACAGTGAATGTATGTCCCATGTTTATATTTTAACATAACTGTGTACTAGTCCAAATGTAGGAACCATATACTGACCTCATCCCTTTTCTTTTCCAGTTCAGCTATCTCTTTATTTAGGCCCTCCACAGTCTCTTCAATCTGAAAGAATTAAATATGTGGTACATGATCAAATTCACAAGATCTTCTTATCAAATTTCTCATGTTCCACCCATTTTCACTTATCACTGGTACATTTGATGAGCCATAAAGTAACTTGTCTTTAAATGCAGAAACATCCACATACTGGAAACAGGAGTTTTCATGTTGAAAATGCATACAGTTGCATTTTTCATACTGGCATGTCATGTGTCCAATTCATATAGCTCACCTCCTTTAATCTATCAGTGAATTTCTGCATGGCTTCTTGCATCTCAGCTAGCTGTTCAACTGAACTCTGCTTTGTCTCCTACAAATTTAAAAGGTTACATATGTTTTTGTCCTAATGTTTTTATATTAAGAAAAAACACTTTGAAAATGTTGATTTTTTTCCTATCAAACATACATTATTTGATTATTAATTTTGTAAGCAAATGAAATGTAAACCAAAGAAAGAGGAGTTTTACTTCAATGATTTCCAAGAAGACCACTAAGTTTACCTCAGCACACACAAACTTGTAGGCTATATAAAGTTTGTTTAGGTGTTCCAGCTCACGGATAACCTTCTGGTACTCCAGGTAAGACGATCTCTCTTCTTTCAACTTGGTCAGGGTCGGGGTAATCTCTTCAGCTAAGATCTAGAACAAAAGCTAACCTCAAGTTACTACTGTATAAGCTGTACCATATTCACAACAGCAAGTAAAAACTAATAAGCTGAGAAAAGTGTATTCCCTCCTCACACACACACACACAAAATAAATAAATAAAAATTAATAATCTCTTCTTAAAATACTGAAAATAATAAAAACTTCATCTGCTTTTATTTTTTATTCTGTGACTTACAGTGTCAATCTCTTTTAGTTTAGCATCCTTCTTTTCAATGGTTCTCTGAGCTGATTCCTTCTTGCTCTCATACAGTCTGGTCCCAGCTGCTTCTTCTATCATTGAGAGAATCTGAATAGGGATTAAATATGTTATCTTACAAAGAGATCAGAATATCTGTTTGAAACATTGTAGCAAACAAATATTTAAATACATGCACTTACCCTGAAGAACCCAGTCTCAAAATGTAGTACACACCAAGTTTAAAAAATGGGCTTTATACTATATAGTTTTTAACACAAGTTAGGCTGACATATACTGCATCACTGCACTAACTAGATGGTTTTTAATTTAATAGTATTGCATATGAGTTTCTAACACTGGTAACCTTCTACAACAGTCTTACCTCTGGTGGTTTCATGTTTAAAACTTTGGTGATCCTCCCTTGCATGATGAGGAAATGTGGGTTGTTGACGTTGAGCTGCACAGAGCGAAACAAGTCCTGGACTCTGATGTTATTTGCATTGCTGCCATTGATCAGATATTTATTACGCCCACCAACCACAACCTGCATAAGTTTTAAGGAATATAGAAAGAGCAAATTCTAAAATACGTTACTTATTTTCATCAAAAAGAATGACAACTATGTTTAAATGATTGAATTCCGTCTGCTTTTGCTCATTAATATGATTATAACATATTTTCTAAGAAAAAAAGTGTTGCATTAGGCAAAAGTATTTCACTACAGCATAGGCCAAAGCAGAAGAAACAAACCTGTCTAGTCACAGTCAGCTCATCATACTGCTCATATCCAAGCGGACTTTGTTTTTTGTCACTGTTGTCAAAGATGATACTGACAGTAGCTTTGGTCACTCCTGCCTGACCATTTTTATAAACCAGTTCTTGAAGATTTGTGGCCCGGACCTGACAAAAGATAAATTGTCATAACAGTATATAAAAAATAAATTACTAAACAAGTAGTGTATGTCATGATCAAGCAGATATTTCATTTAAAGCCACTTTCACTACTAGTCATGACATGCCTTAAAATTTGATGCACTTGTCCTTCCAAGTTTTAGTAGTCTGAAGGTTTGATATTGTACATCTCTATGCAATTACTAGTATTTCTTTAGCAAATGAAGTGTTCCCTAAATTTTATGAATCTGACATTTATTGATTAGACTGCCGAACTGAAGAAGCAATAGTATTACCATATCCCTGAATAAGTTTGTAATGCAATAACCTGGCAATAACAGTTACTACACATTGTACAAACTGGGTATAGAGTGATGTCAAAAGATTTCACGAGGAGTAGAAGTGAACTGACAACAGTATAATATGCCGGTAGGGTGGAAAAAAATCCAGTTGGACTTATATTAAAACACACTGCTCTTCCAAATTTACAATCAAATAATTATTTTAAATTTATTTACCTGATCAAGTTTAGAAATTCCAAGTACAAAGCAAATGGAATCCAAAATGTTTGACTTTCCACTTCCATTCAAACCAGTGATGGCATTGAACTGCTCATCAAAGCCGGTGATTTCTGTACGCTGAGCGTAAGATTTAAACCCGTCTAACACGACTGATTTGATAAACATTATTCACGATTGAATGCAGTGTATATCAAAACAATTTATAGATAAATTCCATTAGATTATGTTTGTAAACAACAGTTTCTCGAAAACACCAAGTCCAAAATGTGGCGCCGAAAGATTCAGTTGGCTATTGATGCGCATGCGTGTATTTAAAATTACCCATAATTCTTTTGCACAATGGAAAGAAAATTGCAACTGATGTAACAACACGCGACCTGCGAATGGAACAGGCGTTTATTTGCTTCCCGTTCCATCTACAAAAAAGTACAATTCAATGTTGCAGTGATGTGATGACAAATTCACCATCGACTCCGAAGAATATCAACGGTAAGAAATTATTTGAACAAAATAATTTCAGGCGAAAGTACACTGACACGGTTCTAGAATACGGTGGATTTACATGCCTGCCTTTCCTTTTCAATGAAAGTCCTACTGTAGTTTAAAAAACGTTAAATTTTTCGCAATTTCCTCAGTGTATTCTCTCAAGGATGTCTATATTATGACACGCTATAACGGTTAATGTAGTTAACATCTAAGAAGCTAATTTTTTTTATATTTTGTTAATACTTGACAGTCTTGTACTTAGAAATTAGAATGACAAATATTTCTGACAGAATTTTAAAGTTGTAATTAGGTATCAAGTTAGGAGAGAAACTGTTTGAAACAATCTTCAAGTAAAGATAATCTCTGGTATATTCAAAATGAAGTTTCATTCAGTATTACTGATATTTCTATGAAGTTATTTGGATGTAAGAAATTAATTTCTCTTTTAGATGTCGGTTGCATTCAGCAGCAATGATGCTGATGTTATTCATAGAAATGTTGAGATAAACTTGAAGTCCAAAAAACCCACAGCTCCAGATCATTTGAATACTGTTTATGAAATACAGAGAAGTGCAGAATGGATAAAGAAAAATAAGTTCAAGAAGGTATGAAATTAATAAATGCTCATATGAATTTGGTTATAGACTGAGTCGATATTTTATTAATTTAACTGTACATAGAGTATAATATAAATCATTATTTCTAGTACACTCATAGTTTAAGATTTATTATCTTGATGATGTAGTAATAATCATATTCTTGTATTTTTTGCTGTTAGTTTTGAAGAACTAATTTCTAAAGCTTATAGTAATTTCTAAAAATTATGTTATATTACAGGTTGCACTGCAATTTCCAGATGACTTACTGCTGGATTCCACAAATGTCGCCAAGTGTTTGGAAATTGACACTGGAGAAAGGGTCTTCATTTTAGGAGACACTTCATATGGAAGGTATGTATTAGTTGAGGAAGTGCCAGTGCATGCATGTGTTTATTTTGCACTGCTGAACCCCTGAAATGAAGTATTACTTGGACAACACATTTTTATGGTGTGATATACAATGTATGCTCCCCTTTTAATTTTTACAGTAAAACTTTCTCACATTATGTATTCATGTATTTTTTCTTTCTTTCCAGTTGTTGTGTGGATGAGGTTGCAGCTCAGCACTATAGTGCAGACAGTGTTATCCACTATGGAAGGGCTTGCCTCAGTCCAGTCACAAGGTATCCTGTGCTATATGTATTTGGTAGAAAGGATATTGATGTCCAGCACTGCTGTGAACAGTTTCAGAAACTCTTCCCTGACAAGACACAACATGTGTTAGTGTTGTATGATGTCATGTATAGTCATGCTATTGGTGAGTTACTGCTTTTTAATGCTCTTACTTCAATTTAAATGGATGTTGCATGTAAGAATTATTTTTTTGTTAGAAAAGTCTTATGTATTGGGCTCTTGAAGACCAATCTAGTCAGTTCTTGAATTCATATTGTTTTCCCCTTTCAATTAATGTGTCCATTTTTTCCCTAGGTGACCTAAAGTCAAGACTGCAAGGTTCTTATTGCAATGTCCTGATATCTGAACTCAATACCACAGAAAAAACTGGTGAAGATGTATCCAATGTTCAGGCAAACTCCAACATTCAAGAATTGTATGGAAGAACAGTCATCATTCCGATAGAGAAAACTATAAAGGATTACAAAGTTTTTTATATTGGTGCAGAAAGTTTTGCTTTGACTAATTTTATAATGACATTGAATCAGTGCACATTTTACTCTTACAATCCAGAGACTAGGACAGATAGGGAGGAGAGTTTGAGTGTCAACAGGGCCATTATGAAAAGATACTACATGATAGAAAAAGCAAAGGATGCCAAAATTGTTGGAATTGTAGCTGGCACTCTAGGAATTGCAGATTATTTAACAGTCATATCGAGGTTGAAAGAGATCACGAAAAAGGCAGGAAAGAAAACATACACATTTGTTATGGGAAAATTGAATCCTGCAAAGATGGCTAACTTCATGGAGATTGATGTGTTTGTCCTGGTGGCCTGTCCTGAGAACAGCTTACTGGACTCCTCAGAGTTCTACAAGCCCATAGTGACGCCATTTGAGATGGAAATTGCTTGCAATCAAGCAAGAGAATGGACAGGAGAATACATAACAGATTTTAGGAAATTGCTACCAGGTAAAAGTTTTGGAAATTAATTTATCAAGTAATTTGCACAAAAGAACTGCTTTTATATGCTAGGTATTATAAGAAAATCAATCAAAATCCGAGTTCTTAAAATTAGGTTAATTAACATTTGTACACTACTTCAAAAACTTTTGGTTAAGAGGATGCTATTGATGTTTAAACAGGTTCCACACATTTTGTTGAGATGTCAGAAGCATCCCAACAGCAGGAAGTCTCCTTGTTGACTGGTGCCATGAGGAGCATAGGAACTGATGACACAGCAGACGACAGTGAGGCCTCAAGTACAGCAGTCATGAAGAGAGATGATGCACTGACTGTAGCCAATGCCTCAACTGCAGGTAACTAGTTTGAGCCTCATCCTGGAAGGGGTAGGAGGGGATCTGCTAAAGGTTTTTTTTTCTTTTAATTTAAATAATTAATAGCAGTCTTCAATATGCTTTGGTACCATTCTTAACTTTCAAATAGTATCATGATGTTAACAATGCTTTGTCTTTCTGAGCAGGAAATTTGAACAATAAATAGTAGTCTTCAATATGCTTTAGTACCATTCTTAACTTTCGAATAGTAGCATGATTTTAACAATGCTTTTTCTTTCTGAGCAGGGGATTTTTTGGCATCCCGCTCTTGGCAGGGACTAGAGCAGAACTTGGGGCAAACTCCAGTGACTAAAGCAGTAGAAGGGATTAAAGGAATTGCATCAGGATACACACATGAACAGAAAACAGAAAAACAGCTGAATGAGAAATTGGATCTAGACTTTTAATATATATGTGGATATTTAAATGCATCATGGAAGCTTGCAAAAAGGCAAATGTGAAAAAAAAAGCTGTTTATTCATATTTTCAGCACATATGTTTACAACATAGAAAATATTTTTTTAATGTGTTGTGTGCAATAGGTATGGAAAAATATCCCTACATTTACTACAACTATGCACTTTAAAAGGAATGTGGTTACTTGGAACATGTGCTATAGCATGAAAAATGTCTCTAATAGAGCCAGCTGTTCAAACTCTAACATTAACCATTAAATTTTTGGTTTGGTTCAAGTTGTACAATTTATGTACAACACAGGTTAAATTACCAACAATTCACCAATAGTTTTGCCTTTCATCATTTACAGTAGTAGGATGTAGCCAAGAATGAGGAATTTTCAGTGAACAATAATAATCTGACAGCAAATGAAGCTCTGTGCCATACAATTTTATGACATTTTTAAAGGATGCATTTTAAAATAAACACTATTCATACAAAAGCTAAAGCTGTAAGTCTTTTATTAGTTCTTCTGCTCTATCACAGTTCCATCCTTTGCCCTTCAATGGTCCTTTCACAGCATTAATATAGAGCTGTAATGCATTTTGTCCTATTTCTCTTGCTCTGAATTGATCACTTTCATTAGGTGTATGGTTCTGGGAAAATTCTGCATACCAGTGACACATCTCTCCAGCATACATCAGGGCTAATAAATGAGTGTCACTAAATATTCCTGAAATGGTAGGAAATGTGCAAAGAAGACATCTTTAAAATATCACAATACGATATATTTTTATTGAATTTCCATATTTAAACCACATTTTAAAAAAAGCTGCCCACATTCCTGCATACTTCTTTTTGAAATTAAAATTTTAAAGTGGTATTTATTCAAAATTACAATAATATAGTATTACAGTAATATACCACGGTCTCTATCCCTTTCACTGCATATTATTCATGTGAAAAATCAAAGACCTTACCTTTGCTTAATAGCTCCATAGTGTCATTATCATTAAATACTACATTAGCACCATTTTCCACTGGAGCACGGACTCTAAGCATAGACTGCAGATAGCCAACTCCTTTCTTCACATTCTAAAACAAACGCACCAAATATCATTTAAGCATTATCAAAGAGATATCAAAATGTGGATAAAATATTTTCATAATTAAACATAACAAGATAGTGAATGTTCGTTCATCAAGGCTGCTATGTTTTGGATCCTGTGGTAAGTGTATTGAAACTGGTGCAAAATGCTAAGAATTTCCTACCTTTAGAAATGTGTCTCCATTCTTCTCTTGGCGGTCTTTTTCTTCATTGATTGTAAAACAATACATGTATAAAAGTGCACCTTTTCTCCAATATATGCATTCTGTCAGTTCTTCTCCTAATATTGCAGCTATCTAAAAGTTGAGGAAAACATATTTTTCCAATTTTCTAAAACAGTTTTGCCCTTCGTTTCAAAGAAAAATGCAAAGTTGCCAACCATATCTTAAGTCTAAATATTATCATTACAACAATCCTAACATCTTTTTATAATTTTATTACTTTTGTAAGAAGCAGAATTCTTTTGGTTTTACCTCTTCAGCTTTCCTGTTGTGAAGATCCACAGTTTGCAGAGCACCATCTAGCTCTCCTGAAATTTGAATTCAGTTAATCTTCATTAAATGGAAGTAAAGCCACTGATATAGTAAAAGCCCATGTACTGGTTTTAGTTTCACCTTGTCATACAAATTGATACAATTAAGAAACACAATGCGCTACCAGATGTTGATGTATTTATCACAGTATTATTATTGTACTGGTAGTTCAAACTATAAAGATCAAAATCCAGATAAGAGATCATTCTTTTGGTAATTAAAGTTATGCTTGATATGTACTAAAATTTATGCTTGAAATAAACCTAAAATGTCCTGGAGTCTGGCTTCAGCTGTTGCAGCTGGAAAGTCTTCATCGACAAGCTTGCTTTCTTTATAAAATGTATAATCCAGTACAGCCTAGGAATATAAAAACAAAACAACAATTGTTTCTTAATTGCAAAAGCAGGTCTCGTGATATCATCCACACCAAAGTAGAACTTTGCAGATCAGTTATTTTTTTATTTGATATAAGGGATATTATATTTCTTGTCCACCAGTATATATTACAGTACTTAAAATGCATACTAGTAGTTACGGAAATCAATACTTGTACCTACTTGAGTATAATTTTGAAGAAGCACATTGTAATCTTCGTTTCCAGCATCAATTCCTTGCAAACCCTGGCCGCACTTTTCTTTTGCTTTTTGCAAAAATATATCACCTAAAAATGTAACATTCATCACCATATTAAATTTAACGAATCCAACGGGTCCTACGAAAATACGAAAACCGCAAAAA